TTCCTCCCACCTTCCCTCCCTCCCTCCCTCCCTCCCTCCCTCCCTCCTCCCTCTTTGCAAGTTCGACTCCGTCCTGTCGTCGCTCTTTGCCATCCGGGTAGCGTTGCGTATCTTGCGGCCGCACTCGCTCTGCAGCCTCTGACAACCCTCCCCGCAGACTTCCGACAGTCCGCTCTGCAGGTGGATCTTTGCGATGCCACCGCGACGTCTCCTTGACTGCCTCCAAAAAGAGCGCCGTGTTTTTTCCTACCTCGCTGCCCTCCACTTTCCCATTCTGGAGCGCTAGCTTTCGCCCCCCCCTTGGCCTCAAGTTGGTGCATTGGAGTTGCACATTTGGCTGGGTGAGTTTGTTGAAACGAATCCGAATCAGAGGTTGTCGATTCTGATCCAGCGATCCGAACCGGCATGTCTCAGTCGAATCACCTATATAAGAGGAACCAATTGAAACCAACACAAGCAATGCGAACCAAGACTATCCACAAACCATGACCTTGAAAACGATTCTTCTTCCAAACTACTTGGCCGTTTGCATGTTTTCCTTTTCAGATCTTTTTTCCGACCGTCTCGAGGGATTGCGACACGCACGAGATATTCTTTTTCACACACAGAAGGCTTCAAAGCGACCGAAGAATTTCTAGATCTGGCATGATTTGTCGTTTTTTTCTCCAAACCGTTTGAAATGAAAGACCCAGAATGACATCGAACAACAATACCCTGCTCAATCAGACATGTGGGTGCATTGGAGTTGCACATTTTGCTGGGAGAGTTTGTTGATGTTGATTTCAAGCGAAGTCGTTTTACAATGAAATGGAACGAATCCGAATCAGAGGTTGTCTATTCTGATCCAGCGATCGACATGTCTCAGTGCAATGGTTGTCTATTCTGATCCAGCGATCGACATGTCTCAGTCCAATCACCTTAGACGTAGAGAGGGGGGGGGGGGGGGGGGGGGGGGGGGGGGGGGGGGGCGTCAGGCTGTCGAAAAATCCGTAGATTGAAACCAACGCAAGCAATACTAACCAAAACAATCCACAAAACACGCCGGCAGGCCGGCGGATTTTCCAGCACTGAAATACTTCCCCAATGATCCCTAGGCATCTCTGCTGCTAATGGACTCAACCTTGGAGGTGGATCTTCGTCCTCGCTGTTGGCCCCAGGTCACGCTGATCTTCGCCTTGCTGGGATTCCTGTCGCCCGCGCAAAGAGGAAGTGGGGAGCCGCAGCGTCGCAGAGGTTCTGCTGTAGGGCGACATGTGTTCGCCGGGAAAGGAAGATGAGGTGCGAGGAGGTGTAGGGAGGTTCTTTGGCCATGGATTTGGATTATCACTCGAGAAGTTGGATGATGTAGCAGTGATCCGTAGCATCTCATTTTTTCCTTGAATGATACTCTTCGAAGTCACATTCCTTCAGCTTGGTGGATCTCACTCCCTCAGCTTGGCCGCCAGCGCAGCACGGCGCAGCACGGCGTGATCGAGGCCTTTTGCAGTCGATGATGCTCCTTTTTACGCTGATGGGAGTGCTCGGTGGCTATACTGCTGCGCGGCTTTGCAAGGCCGGCTCATGGATGAAGGATGCTTTGGTGTCAGACCATCCCAACTGATTGAGCTACGGCTCCAAACCGTTGGCAAAAAGCTGTGGATCCACGGTTCTCATTTTTTGACCACCTTCATCCACATTCCGTTAAGCCTAGTAGCAAGTGCATTGCTACTAGTAGCGATGGCCTCCAACCTAGTAGCTTCTTGTTACTAGTAGCTACTTGCTTCTAGTAGTACGGCTAGGAGCCCCTAGTAGCATCCTTGTTCCTAGTAGCGATGCCAGGAGCCCCTAGTAGCGAACATTGTTACTAATGGTAATGCACTTGTTACATCGTGTTACTAGTGGCTCGTGCGAAGCATCTGGTGCTTCGCACGGCTCGTGACATCTCGTGACCAGGTCTTCGATGGCGATGAAGGGCGGTGGAAGACCACGACCCTGCTGCAAGCCTTCCTGGTACCAGGCCGGTTCATCACTTTGGGATTTGTCTCAGGTCATGTGATCAAGTGTATCAGGTCGTAGGTCAAAAGGCCAAGATGCAAGGACTCACTCAGCCTCAGGAGCTGAAATCCGATCCAACCCGCGAACGGTCCGGCAACAGCTCGTTCGACGCAAAACGCTCGTTCAATAGCTGTTTTCCACATGCTGATCTGCTTTTCTGCCGCCACTGAAGAAAAAACAAGAAATTAAGGAAGGCTGCCTTACGGGTGGACTGTGTGACCGAATGCGAGGTCTCTTCTTCGGCATCTTCTTCCTCTTGAACTTGTGCATCTGGGGCGAAAAGGTGGCGAACGAGAGCGCTCGTCCGCGAGCGCTTGCACGATCGAAAGTGCGGGATCGAAATCCACATGGCATGGTGACATGGTGGGTGTTTTGGTACAAGTGAGGGATCAATGCCATGGCTAGACTGCGGTCCCATGAATGCCCTCTGAGAGGATCCACTGATTTCGCGGGAAGCAGTTGGAACTCTACCCCAAGTATCCGGACCCAAATCAGGTCAAGCCCTTCAGGTTGTGAAGCTGGACCCAAAATGGACCAAACATCTCCAATCCGCCCATCCCCACCGGTCCGCGACGGCGATGACCATCGCGCGCTGCGCCGGAGCGACCCTTTCGTCACCAGTCCTCCGGGGCGGTGGCCTTCACGACGCTCTTCGCGATCCTGGTGCTCTGGTGGCGGGCTTGACAGGGGTCGAAGCAGGTGAAAACAAAGCAAAACAAAGACCTGACGAAGGCAGGACCTTTGACTGTGACTTTGAAGATTAGGTTGATTTTGGAATGAACAGGACGGAATTCCTGTGATGAGATCTGCAACACATGATGTGCTCAATCCAAAAATGACTCGATGCCTCAAACGCCACAGCCAAACCTCGCCCGGCAAGGTTTGGCGTCTCTGTGCCGTTGGTCTTCTTCGGTGCGTATACAGGAGCCCCTTGCGTTGACACTGCAAGACCTTGGGAAACGGAGATGGGAGCGCTTGCAGTGGTGCTTGGTCCGAACTGAGACGTGCCGCATATACGGTACGATTTTTGCTCATACTGCGCATCTGAATCGAAACAACCTCATTCCAAAGCTCCGGCCCCTTCCCGGTGGAGGATTCCGAAAGGAGAGGATGGAGCTACCGGTGCGCACGAATCAGGCGGGACGCATGGATGGGAAGGTGGTCAGCACCAGTCATCGAGCTGCTCCGGTGTTCAAGCGTATTCTTTTTCGCCGGACAGCGATAGCTATGGGGTTCTTACATGTTCTTACCTCAAAAAAGAATGAGCTGGCTGTGTGCACTTTGGAGACGGTGTCGGTGCAGGTGCTGTGCTGGTGCCGGTGCTGAGTGCCGGCGCCGGTGCACGCCCTTTGATGTTTTTGCTGCATTACCGGTTACTTAATTTCTTGATACTTTTTTATGTTTCAACTGCTTCTGGTTTTTGAGTGGCTGCTATCTGGGGTCTATGCCGGTGTAGTTTCGTCTTCCTCCAGGAAGGGTTCGCATGAACCAAGTTCCAAGTCCTGACCATTGGCTTTTGCCCATGCTTTCCTGGACATTTTCCGTGAACAAAAAGGATGGACATGCCAACCCTTGACCGAACAACCATTGGATGTTCACCGTGCCTGCCCCGAAGCGCCAGATCCCTCGGGCGATCCCGGAGCAGAGCCCTGGCGGAGAGTGGACATGGCGCAGCGGGGGGGACCAATGGACATGGCGAGCAGTGGGTTGGTGCTCGGTGATGATGTCATGAAATGTGTCCTTTCGACACCGGTGATCGAACACACGCACACAGCTGGGTGGCGCTGCGAGAGAAAGCAACCAACCACACATGATGCCAAGAAGACTTTCTGATGACCCAAGAGACTTTGTGATCTTTTATATAATTCCACCGGGAGTCCATGGTCCCGGGTGAAACCCGAGACACAAGACTCGCTGGCCGATGGATTGCAGGCTCCCAAGTGCAGAAGACTGTAAGACCCACACCTGAATTTACACCTGAAAGCCGTTGACAACGCCCAAGTCATTTTCTTGAATGTCTTTCCAGGATCAAACCTTTCTTTTCAAGTTGAACCAGTTTGTTCTTATTGAGCCACTTATGACAATTGCGAAAGGATTTAGTTGAGAACCAAAGGTTCAGTTGAGACATATTCAAGGCGTATAGGTCGAAATAGAGGTGAAACCAGGGTTTCGATCAGGAATGCACGGAGGTTCGTTTTTCCCCACCTGCCAGGTGAGGGTTGTTAGATGATTGATTTTATCAGAGCTGTCCTCCTCCGCCTCCTGCTCCTCCTCCTGCTCCTCCTCCTCCTCCTCCTCCTCCGCGCCGGACCTCAACCACGAGTGCCAGATCCGAGTGGGCACCGCAGGGCCTCAACCACGAGTGCCAGATCGCAGTGGCATCACCGGGCATCCCAGTGAGCAACTATGCCAGATAGAATGCCAGAATATATGCCAGTTTCTGGGAGATGTTGACGCAACATAGCCGTCAGTCATCAGCAGAGTACACTGCCACGGTGGGGATCACTCGAATTAAAGAATATTTTTGAAGAGCGCTTGGAAAGGAAAACAGCAGGTTCAATTCCAAAAAGCAAGATCCGGTCAGACCAACCCCGTCAGTTTCCTGCATTTGCTTTGCGTTTTGCCAAGGCCATGCTACATGCAGCCGCTTGCCACTTCGTTGGTCGGTGGTGTGCTGCCCTTCGGCGCCGTGTGCCATGGCAGCTTTAGAGCCGTTTTCCATCGCTGTGGATCCCCTGAGGTTCCTTTTGCTTTAGAGCCAAGCCTCACACTTTGGCTCTAGGCCTTTCTCGGAGGCCAGCGAATCCCTAAAGCAGCGGTTTGCTCCAAGGTTCACGGAGCTCTTCTTCATCATGTCGTCCATTTGGCTCCACGAGCAGGAAACTCAGTACTTCCACCCCTCAAACAGGGCAAGTGAGGACCATCAATGCTCTCAGTGCTTGACGACAACCTACACATCCTCTCAGGTTTGAACACACTCTTGATGCATTTCTTCCTGAACTTCATGATCACTGTTTTCCGGCGATTCACTATCAATTTTTCCGTCCGAAGACTCGTTTTGGGAGTGGACGTGGACGCCTTCAGACGCCAAAGAAGGCGCAGCAGGCATGCGCATGTTGTTGCACATGCTGCAAGATGGGTCTGAGGTTTCATTTTTTGTCTTCGCTTGTGAATCTCGTCAGTCATCGGGAGATGGGTCTCAGGTTCTATTACTTGTTCGGCTTCCTGTCGTTGGTCCTGCTGATCGTGTTGATCACCTGTGCGGAGATCTCCATTGCGCTGACCTACTTCCAGCTCACCAGCGAGGCACGCGGAGTGCACGGAGTGTGTGAAGCAGGCCGGGTTGATCCAGGCTGAGATAGGAAAGCCACTCTTTTAAACTGGGTGGGGAAGCGGTCCAACTACGATCAACAAAGAACACTTCCATGGATGTTTTGGGAATGGGATTGGTTTGAAATTTTCTCATCTGACATCAGTTTCTTTTTCGGACTACTGCAATCACTTCCTCTCCAACAAAACGAGGAAACGCCGCCCAAAATGTTCAGACAGCGTGTTTTTTCTGCGGAAGACAGGTGACCTTCGATGTTTTTTCTTGCGAAAAGGACTACCGCTGGTGGTGGATCTCCTTCTCCGCAAGCGGAAGCTCGGGGATCTACGTCTTCTTGTATTCGATCATGTGCGCGGGGGCTGGGGCGGGGTCAGCAGAGCTTAGAAAGGTGCTCCAAAAGCTTGGACAGGTGCCCAGAATTTCCGGTGGATAAGGGGGTGGGCTTGTTGGTGTTTCATGGAGGTTGTTGGTGTTTCAAGCACGATGCAGATCCGAGAAATTGTGCTTCTGGGTCCTGTGGGTCGTTCTCTTGGAGACACGCCTGAACCCCTTGGAGGGGTTGTTTTTTGTTCTCCCATCATTTTGTCGGAGGGAGCCAACAAACGGTCCCAGTGACGGTTCTCAGACCACTTCTAAACAACGACAGGACCCAACAGTGCAGTCGAAGCATTCAAAACATGACGAGATTCTGCTTCAGCTCAGATTAGCTCAGATCATTTGGGCCGACTTGTTCGCCTTCTTTGGCCGAACTGGTGATGGAAGATCTTTTATTGAAACTTCAAGACTCGAGCCCTGCCACTGTGGCAGAAACATTGGCGTTGCTGTTGCCAGAGGACATGCAACGTCTAAAAGATGCTTTGAATTTGCTTGAGACTCCTGCTTCGCCAACCAAGACTGAGTCTAGTTCGTGTGTCAGCTACCACGTGATGATGGTAGTAGATGGCAGTGACTTTGAGTTGACTCTCAACAGAGAAGCAAGCACCTTTGACGCCTGTGTTGCCATTGCTGCCAGAAAGAACCTGAGAGCCTCACAGGTGAAACTACTTGCTGCGGGCCAAAGCCAGCCCGTGAGAATGAGCAAGATGATGCAGTTCCACAGTGAAATGGGAGAATGCACTGAAGTGCTTGCGATCATCACAGTGGGTTATGACTTTGGACAGCCCAAAGGGCCACTGGCCACGTCCTGTTCAGATATCACCTTCGAGCACTTTCCTGTGTCTGCTTACCTCAGCGATGGCACTCACAGCTCTGATACATTGGAGTCATGTGATGGGCAAGAGGTATCTTGGCCGCTTTCCTGCGAAACCTCCAAGCCCGCTCTCAGCGTGCTTTTCTCGGATCATCCAGTGTGTGGAAAGATTCTGATGAGATTCTTAGTGCATCAGAGAACCTATGCCTTGGGGCTCGGAGTGGCTTTAGTAGACATGGACCTGGAGACAGATCCAGAATATTCCGAGCACTTCTTTGGGCTGTACCACGGAGGCTACAGCGACAATGTGTGCATGCAGGCGAGGAGAACCTTTACAGGTCAGGATGGCACTAAGCATACATGGACTGGGGGTGCAAGACTGGCCATTCTATTTGACTTTGAGGAGCGGAGCATGCAGTGCTACGAGGGTGTGCAACGTTTTGGGCACAAGCATAGTTGGCTGCCGACAGAAGATTTGTATCCGGTGGTCTCTTTTTGTCGTCCAGGTGACCGTGCTTGCATCTCCGTCAGTTTCTGCTGAAGGGTGAAGTGCGAAGCTGAGTCAAAAGAGCTGCATGGCTGAGGGAAGGTGGTTGGATCCTGCAGAGATATAGAGAGAGAGAGGAAGTCCAGACTCCCTTGAAGTCCCATCAACGTGAGAGGAAGTCCAGACTTGTTTGTGACCGACCTGTGGAAGACTGGATGGGCAAAAAGGCCTCCATAGCGAAGCCCCATCAATGTGAAGTGCTCATGTAAGAAGTCCACCACCTGAGATTGTCTCACCCTTGTCAGTGTTTTGCCTATGGGTTGTGACTTATCCTTCAAATCACTCCACCCAGGGACGTGCACCTTGTAATCCTCGACCAATTCACAGATGCGACATTCGCACCCCGGTGAGAGGATTTTGGAACTGCCCCTGTCTCTGAGGCGTTTTCACCACGCAGCTTTTTCACATTTTGAGACCTCAAGAAGTCCAATTAAAGCCCAAGTCAAACAAGACAGGAATCCGGTCGAGTCTTTCCATAGGAGATCGAGATCATTTTTGGAGATCTCAATTTTTGGAGATCTCCAAATTGGTCGCTGCATCAGTACCTTTTGCCAGGTACTTTAACTCGCGGCTCCAAATTCGCCATTGGGTGTCCATCCTGATGTACTTTGGGTCCATAGCTCAGACCTGGCTCGGAGTCAGCAGCGCCAGTCTTCGGTTCTCGGAGCAATGGTCTTCCTCACGGAAGAAGACTTTTCCGTTGCCTCCACCCTAATAGCGATGGCCTCCACCCTTGCTACAGTTGATTGGCAATGTTCTAACTTCGGCATGCGACCTCTTCTTGGTGAGTCCTCAGTCTTGGTTCTGATTGACCCTCAGTCACTAACTCAGTCCAAAGCACCCGACTCGCATGAACCGACTCGAGGGTTTGTGGCTCAAAAGAGATGCCCCCACAGACAGTATACTAGGGCCTTGCTCCAGTCAATGTGATTACATCATTTCTCAGGCAACCTTGCGATTTGGTGCATCTTTCCAAAATCCAAAGATGAACTAAGTTGGGTACCAATCGGGTCACCAATGACCCGTTTAGCTGCAGGAATCCGTGAAAACCGCATCCAACAGTGCACTGAAACCGCCTGGGCTGTCTATTGGCCCACCCGATATGACGCAAGCGTCTGGAAAATACCCTTTTGTTTTTTCACCACCCGGCTGGTGAAGTTATACACATGGAGTTCAACTAAGTACAAGCTCGCTTCCGAACCCCAGGAGCGAGTGAGCTTTTCACGTCGGCCACTCGAGGTATATGTTCATCATGTCCTGCATCTTTGGGCTCATCAGCGGAGCAGTGGGTGGGGTGCCCCAAAGAACGCAGTTTTGTGGATGGCTGGGCCTCAAACACTGCAAACCAGTGCAAACGGAGCCAAACACTTCGGCACTCTTCTGCTAAGAGGTGTGGTTTTCATTTTCGGGTCCTTGGGGTGCTCAGTCCTTGGATCGCTGGAGGCTTCTACAGCACCTTCATGTTCGTGCGGGGCATCTATGGCTCAATTAAAATTGATTGAGACGGGCCCTCGCTGCTTTTCCACGTCCGGTGCCGTGGCGTTTCGGCTGGAACGAGAGCTGGGAGAAAACCCCCAGGACAGAGTGCTCAGTGCAGACCACTGGCAAGAGGCAGTTGGGAGGTCTAGGGGCTGCAAAGTTCGGCCCCACAGAACAGAGGTTTGGGAGATTGTCGGAGAAATCAGTGGCCTGGATGTTGCCGGGGCTTGGGATGTGGGGTGTGACGGTGAGTCTTTTTGGAGGACATGATGTCCAAATGTATTTGAATAATTGGGAGGCACCCTTCAGAATGGTCTAATAAAGTTTGTTATTAGGTTGTAGGTTGGAGGCCATCGCTATTAGGAAGAAAAGGACAAATTATCCATGGCGCCTCCAGAGTAGGAAGGTTTCAAATTCGTTTCAACCAACCCACCGACTCCACCCGCACCCACATGGTGCCACATGGTGTGACGAAGTCGTCGCGGTTCCCTTGCCTCACTGCAATGAGCAGAATACAGTTCGTTGCATCATGACCCAAGCAGGCAAAAGGATGATTCGCTGGAAGACATGCAGGTTTCGGAGTCATTTGTGCAAAGCGCTTGGACAATCTCTGATCAGCTTCAGTTCCGCATATCACAAGCCTGTCATTGAGTCATATTCCTCGGAAAAGGCAACACATGGACAATCACTTCTAGGAACTCTGGAAAACTCCACAGCAACTGCGGCCTGGCACGCGGGGAGCGCGGACACCGCGTCACTGCCGGCCTGGCACGCCTCACTGCCGGCGCTCCCCCACTTTTGAGGCAAGGAGTCGACTGCGGGCGACTGGCGGTCTGGTGGTTCTTCGCCTGGCTGGGTCGGGATGGAGACCCAAGGTGGATTGATTTGAGAAAGATGTATACAAATTACGGGGATACATCGTATTTGCGGAGTCTGTCACAACTTAGAGTCAGCAACTGAATTTGATCATGGATTTGTTGTGTCATCAGTGTCATCAGCCACCGAGAGTTTACCCGTGGTAACCAAGGGTTGGCCATGAATGTTCGTCCACCACTGCTCTTGTAGGGCCGGCGACGGTTGCGACGTTCGGTTTCGCGGACGGATTCATTCCCACTTGGATGTCACGTTTCCTGCGGAAACTGAAGCCCACTTTTTTCGACTTTTCCCACGCCTGGCAAGGCTAAGCAGTAGAGTTCAGGGACGGTGTTTGGATTTTCCGACGGTGGTCGCATGTTTGTTTGTTGTACTTGTGTTGCATGATTGCACGATTCATTACTCAATGACCGATGTTTGTTTTATCCACCAAGTTGATTGAAGAGGTTCCTGATGCGAAAATCAACTCTCAAGGAGTGAGTTGATGATACAATTATAAACTTATGCACATTGAGAGTGAACTGATTTGAGGCTTTTCTAACTTGGCTCACTCTAGAGGACCATCGGACGCGTCGTCGCGCTCGCTATGCCGTAGCTGCTATGCCGTTCTCGCTGCAGACGTGGTCCACCGTGGCGTCTGCCACTCATGGCCCAAGCGAGGATCTGGAGCTGCCGTTGCGAGGCGAAGGGGTGGAGGCTGTCTTTGTAGGCCTAGAGGAGGACGTGAAGGAAGCTGCAAATGCACAAATTCAGACATTCAGTAATACCAAGGCCAAGTGGGTGCTGCTGTTCTACACGCTGGCACGGATTCTACTGAATGTGATGCTGATTCTAGGCAATGCTCCAGATCCTGCAAGGGCTTGCGATGGGTCCATGTCAGAATCTCTTTTGGTTATCACCAATCAGTTGACTGCACTTTGGTTTAGAAGAGGCATCGATTGCTCAAAGGGCCCCGAAGGGGGCTTCCGCGCAGTAGTGTCGATCTCCATTTTGGAGAGCACTTTGAGGCCACTGATCACGGCCACTGGAGTCTACTGCTTCTTCACTGCTCGCTTTCGCCCTGAATCGCCGCTCCACCTCAGGAGCCGCTATGCTCTTGTATTGATGTTGGCCGATTTCTTCACCGATCCGAGTATCATGTGGCCGATTTGCACCAGGGCTGATGACGATGACCTACAGGTCTTTATCATTTTGGGCTTCGGTATGGCTCCCATGCTTCGTCATGGGCTGCTGCTGGCGATTAACAACAGCAAACTCCGCTCAGTAGGTTGGCATCACTCTGCCTGCATTTGTGATGTACTTATGGTCATCGAGTTGACGTTGTTGCTCTGCTGCTTTATGGTGCATTGGTGGAGTGCAGTCTACCATCAGTCCTTGGATACGAGTTGGCTTCAAGGTTTGGCCAGTGGTGCCACCATGCTCACGTTCTTTGGCTGCACGATTTGTGTAGCAATCACGCAAATGATTATTTTGTGTTGTGCAGGGTGCAAGCTTCGACGGCAAGGTCCCTCAGGGTCCGTGTTGAGATTGGCGGCACGGTATGCAACGATCAGCGCCATCCAAGTGATGCTCGACCCCGTGATGGTGCCATTGTTGTTCATGGCACTTGGTGAAGGTTTCGGCAATTTTGTGGACCAAACCTTGCTTGTCCTACTCATCGTGTGGCTGAGTGGGGTGCTTGGCCCCTTCCGCCGCTCTAGTGAGTGTTTCCAGACGCTCCAGTGAGCATTCCGCTGGCCTGACATGGCCTGACACTAGCTTCAGGGCATTCCGGGCGTGGCCGAAAAGGGTCTCCGATCGATCCATCGAGCTTCGTCCACTTGGACCCTGAAAGCGGACAGAAAAGGAGGTCTGGAAGGTCACAGTGCTTGCGACAGTCTTTCCTCACATACCGTAAGGGTCGTCCGAGGACGATCCTCCGTAGATCGTCGCGTGACTTACTTCGTTGCTTCTTCCAGCCTGTCAATGGGAGTCTTCTTACTACACTTCGACTCACTGACAGGGAGGTGGAAAATCTGCTGTTTGAACAGGACAGTAAGTAGTCTTCCAAGGGGTCATTTTCTACTTCCATGGGGTCGTGAGTCAGAGTGTACCAAATGTGATCACACAGTATCCGAATCCGATCTATTTTCGGCAAGTTTCAAATCCCAGGCACTTCACGGGACCGGCGTTCAAAAACCGATCAGTTGGGGTGGTTGACCCGGGTTCAACGTAGGTAAATGGGTACATATTCCAGTCCCATGGAGTGTTTGGGCATGTTACATCCCTGCTTTTCAATGGACATGGACTCCGACGTTGTGGGGAGTTTCTTGACCAGCCAAAGCTGCAAAGCCGGTAAGTTTCAGCAGATAGATAGACTCAGATAGACATGATGGTTACTTGGATACTTGGGTACTTGGTTGAATCAAGTCATCAAACCGGCAATCATGCATCTCTCTTTGGATACTTGGATGCGATAGACATTTGCTCAACCAACCAAATGGGCGGGCGTTGCCCGTGTCACGCGTTGGAAGCAACTCCGGGCTGTTTGACGCCAACTCGTGCTGCGACCCAAACAGGCCGAGGACAGAAGCAGACTGGTGACTGGCACTGGTGACTGGTACAGTTGGGATGTTGGGGGGCTGCAAAGTTTCGGCCCCTCAAAACGGAGGCTTGGGCAAAAAGTGGTTCGGGGGTGTGATGAAAGACGGGCCTTTCTGGAGGACATGATGTCCGTATGTATTTCGAGGTCGTCTTCAGTGATCAATCATGATCAAGCAATGTATATAGAGGACTGTAGGTATATTTGTATGATTTTGTATGTATTTTTCCACGTGGTGATCGTTTTGTTCCTGTAGATAGGTGCCAGCGAGAATGAATAGAGTGATGGACGTGGAGACTCAAAAACACAGGACGTATTCTTAGTATTCTTAGTACAGGATAGAGAACCCTTCCAATGACATGACAAGCCCGCTTGCAAAACAGAAGTAACTGGTCAAGGCTTAGGCATCCCGCCCAAAATCCATCGAGATTCACAGATCTTGACACAAGAGCCTCTAGCAGCTAGCACACAAGTGCCTCTACCGATGGGCCCAGCGGTTCCCGCAACAAATGAAAGCTTAGCATTTATCATTCATGGGTGCGTTGGGGCGACTCCACCCCCTGCGTTGGGGCAAGCCAGAAGCCTTCCAAATCCATGTCAATTGACCGTGACGCAGTAAGAGTTTGAGCAAACCGTACAACACCCACAGGATCGGCTGCCAAGAAAATAGTGATCAAGGAGTCCAAACACCTGCCGTTAGCCAAGCACTCGCAAAATGACCCAAGCCATCAAAAGGAACCTTCGTTCGAAGACATTCACGTTTGACACCCATTCGTCCAAGCATGCCACGCATGTTCAAAGACCATGGAACGCCTGAACAAAAGCCCTAAACCCTGCAAGACTTTCATGTCTCCTGCCTGAATTTCTTTGATAAAACTGGAAGAACAGATCCAGAAACCCTGAAGATTCAACAGGAACTGGTGCAGCAGGACGCGTCCTGGCAGGGCCCGACCTGCGCCCTGCGGCGCGAGCTGCAGCGCCATGCGGCAGCGGCCGACGGCCAAGCGGCGGAGCGATTCGCCTGCGGAGGTGAAGGAGGGGAGCTGGAGCACTGAGGCCATCACTAGGGGGAGTTGGAGGCCATCGCTAGTAGGAACAAAGGGCATCGCTAGGTTGGGAGCAAGGACCGCTAGGACCGCTTGGAGGGGTTGGAGGCCATCGCTAGGTTCTGGGCCAAAAGGTGGTGTGGACCGGGTGCTCGCAGGTGCGGACTTGGTGCCCGAGGTCGACGCGGTGACGTGCTTGTTGATCCAGTTTTGTAGGCATAAAATCCTCCGCACGAACTCCAGTTTGTGAACGACAGACTCCGAACTTGAACAAGCAATGGGTCAGATATGGCTAATCCAGCAAATGGAAAACATGATGAAACATCACCTGTGGGTTCCAGGATCTTAATTTCTCGAGCCACATCCATGAGATAAGTTCTCAACATTGCTCTCAGACCTTCGTGGCTCTTTCCCGCGTAGGAGCCGCCAGCAACGCCAGCAACGCCCGCTGTCTGTGCCCTGGAACCGGCGTCGCTGCTGCGGAACCGCGCAGCGAAGGACTTGAAGTCGAGTGAGGAGTACGTAGAGCGGAAACCATCGAACATGATCAGGAGATTCCCAAAAGTCTGGTGATTCAAACAGGTTGGAGGCCATCGCTAGTAACTAGTAGGTTGGAAGGTCCACGCACGTGTCCTGGTAGCGAACTCCAACTCCATCCCTTCGTCTGGAACTTCTGTCTGGGAACGCACAGAAGTCGATTGCAGTGCTACGGGAAAGACCAGACCTGATCCATTGATCCATCAACTGTGTAGGAACTGGTCATGTGGTGTACTTTCTTCTCTAGGCGAACTATCCTGCTGACAGGTATGAGGTCTGGACCACTAGCTATGACCCGAAGAACCCAACGTACGTACAGATTTTCAGAATTGCTTGGCGGTCCCTAGAGTTTGAGTTCGTGTGCTTTTGCTGCAAACCCTCTGTCAGGGTGCATTCGCTGGGATTTGGGATGTTGTTTGGGTAGCTACTCCACCAGGGAATCCGCTTGGAATCCGCCCCAGGTTCAGGGTGCAATCACCCCCCC